GACAACACTGCAAAAACCTTATAGTATTAGTATATTTTGCAGATATAAGAGCTTGGTTTGGGTTTGGTCCATCAACTATATATAGTCATTCCAAATAGACGCATCAAGAATCTCGGACTTGCGGTCATTGCGCAATGCATACTGGGAAGGATCCTCCGAAAAAGTGAGCATCAAACCTCCATGTTTGTTTTCCCAGTGGGATGTGTCTATTGACAAAGTCGATCTTTTCTAGTCTTTTGAACCATATCACTTTTGTTTCTGGTTCTGATATTGTCATATTTTAGTTTTGGGATTCGGACATCGTTAATTGTGTGGTTGTTGGATCCTAACAGAGGGAAAACAGCTCGAGAAATGTGTTTGCGAACTCCATAAATGCAAAAGGGAATCAGATGTGTGTGACTCAAACCTCTGTTCAAACTGTTTCTCTTCCCAACGGAATTGAAAAATAGTGAAAGGTGAAGGTGATGGGCAGGATTGATCCACGGGAAGGACCAAAAAGGAAACATTTGACTGCCTAAATCATCCCGAGTTTGCAGTGAAAATACAACAAAGCAAAATCCCGATCCCTCGCTCCACCTTGGTTACGAATTTAAAAAGTCAACGCCAAAGCGAAAGGCACCAGCTGTTCACCAAGAAACACCTTCCACTGCAAAGAGACCAAGACGTGATGTTGCTGTAAAACCACAAGAACAAGAAAGTGCAGCTCAGTCTGTTTGTCTTCTGCACCTCGGCTTAACAAACGGGATCCTGCTTTGATGTTGCTCCACATACAAAATGTTCGCTGCAAACTCGGGATGATTTCTTAGCCAGTCAAATGTTTCCTTTTTGGTTCTTCCCGTGGATCAATCCTGCCCATCACCTTCACCTTTCACTATTTTTCAATTCCGTTGTGAAGAGAAACAGTTTGAACAGAGGTTTGAGTCACACACATCTGATTCCCTTTTGCATTTATGGAGTTCACAAACACATTTCTCGAGCCGTTTTTCACTGTTAGAACATCCAACAAACCACACAATTAACGATGTCCGAATCCCAAAACTAAAATATGACAATATCAGAACCAGAAACAAAAGCGACATGGTTTAAAAGACTTGAAAATATCGGCTTTGTCAATAGACACATCCCACTGGGAAAACAAACGTGGGGGTTTGATGTGCTCAATTTTTTGGAAAATCCTTCCCAGTATGCATTGCACAATGACCAGAAGTCCGAGATTCTTGATGCGTCTATAGGAAGTGTGCATGGGTGTGCTTCCGGTGTGGTAGGATTTTGACCCCGCGGAGAGGTGACCCCAGGGTCAACATACCATATAGTATTTTGATCCCAGGGTCAGAATCCTATTATAGTATGTTGACCCCCCTATGAAAATCTATGTTTTATTAATAAACAACTTGAATTCTATAGAAAAAGTTTGAATATTAATACTCTATCTGCAAATGAAAACATATTGACATATTTAAAAGTGTTTTTTTGAAGAACTCAGATGCATTTTTTTTGTCGATTATAACTTTTGAATGTTAAAAATGACATAGTTGTTTAAACACATATTTGACTGAAAATGAGATAAGCAGTTATTAATGAGTTAGGAGTTAGATAATCAAAGTGATGTGTAATGATTTGGAGTCTTGTTCAAATAGACAGGGCTGATCTATTGAGTAGTTAAACAGGGGAAACCTATTGCTACAGTAATCTGACCCCCAATAAGTTTATTATAGTTATTATGACGTAAAGTAAGAAGTCATGTTAGCTTGAATATTGACAATGATCTATTATATATAAAGGAGGTCAAAATCCTATGACTATAGTAATCTGACCCCCAAAATGTTTATTATAACACAACATGACTAAATTCAAGGTCATTATTCTTAAAAACTATTGCCTAAATTGACATTATGATGAAGGATTATCTGAACATAACAAACTAAAAACTATAACAATGTAAAATACAATATAAAAAGTGACAAGATTGTTATGTATATGCAGTTTTAACAATGTTACATTTACACAAAATACCAAGTCGTTCTCCATCAAAACATTCCATAAAATACCTTAAAAGAAAGTGAATATGTAGAAATATATAATAAAAGTAAATTACATGAGAAATAATGATCAGATAAGTAAATACTAAAGAAAAATCCTATAGGGGGTCATTTTACTATAGCGGTATGTTCACCCCAGGGTCAAAATACTATCTCACAGCGGCTCCATTGACCCTGGCTCCAATTCACTTTGTATTGAAAAATTGTGGCTCTTCTCTCTGTAAGTGCAGCAGTGAGTCTCGTCATTTTGGTCTTAAAATGTTCGTATTAACCCGCAACACATGATCCTGGTGTTTTTATGTCACTATTTTGTGCGTAAATCAAGATAAACATTCCTCATTTAGTCCTGGTTTAGAGCTAGTCTGATTCATCACCCGGTTTCACTTCGTGGAAACCGTCTGACCTCACAGCATTAGGATTCGTTCGCTCGACGGTAAACGGGTTCTTTTTTAAATTTAACCAATCGCTGCTATTTGGTCATGACATATGTAAAGCGCTGCTAACGGGGCTAACTGGTATATTAAGCTTTTCCTAAATCCGGTAGGAAGAAGGACAATAACGCCTTTCCCCTTGATGAATCCCCTTGAAACATTCTCTTTGTTCCAGCTTTAAATCCTCGATCTCAGGAATCATTGCCAACACAGAATGTCTGGCTCTTCACTGATTGGCCGAGGGTTTTGCAAATGGTCTAGTGTATTTTGATTCCTGACCTAGTTGCTGGAGAGAAATGAAATTGAGCAGAGGCACTAGGTTGCATCAGTCGGACTAGTTTAGATCTGCTTTAGTCCTGAGTTAGGATATATCCATCCTTGCACACAACAGTTATTATATTATATTGTGGTGTGTGAGCTACTGTGTCCAACTAATTTCCCTTGTGGAAAAATAAAGTTTGTTTAAGTCCAAGTCTAAACCATCAAACTGAACCAGGATTTAGACCAAAATCTACTCATGGATGAGACTGAACTCACAACTGGACCAAACCAGGTCAATGTGAACACACCTATAGACCTGGGACACTTTACCTTCAGATCCAAAGCAGATCTCATGTTCTTACAGAATATTGATTATGTCTAGACTGAATTCTGCCCAGTCCACTTTTACTCCTGGGTCAGACTTGGTTTAGACTTGATTTAGTTCAGGATTAGACCTGGTTTAGTTCTGGTTTAGACCTAGTTTAGACATGATTTAGTCCTCATTTATTCCTGGATTATTAGACCTAGTTTAGTCCTGGTTTAGTCCTGGTTTAAATCTGGTTTAGACCTGGTTTAGACCTGATTTAATTCCTTTTTTGTCCTGAATTAGACCTAATTTAGATGTCATTTAGTCCTGGATTAGTCCTAGTTTAGTCCTGGTTCAACCCTGCTTTAGACCTGTTAAGACCTGGTTTAGTCTTGGTTTAGTCTTGGTTTAGACCTGGTTTAGTCCATATTTAGTCCTAGTTTAGACCTGGTTTAGTCCTGGTTTAGGTTGTGTTCACATTAGCACACACACCACATCAAACTTCCATCTAGAACTAAACCAGGACTAGACCAGAACCAAATGAAGTCTACACCTGGACTAGACTGGACGAAAAACTGGATTAAACCAGGTCAATGTGAACACACCAAGACCTAGAAACCTGGAACAGTTTACCTCCAGATCCAAACCTGATCTCATGTTTTTACAAAATATAGATTACATCTAGACTGAATCCTGCTCAGTCCACGTTTACTCCTGGTTTAGACCTACTTTAGACCTGATTTAGTCCTGGTTTAGACCTAATTTAGACCTGATTTAGTCCTGGTTTAGACCTAATTTAGTCCTCATTTAGTCCTGGTTTAGACCTGGTTTAGTCCTGGTTTAGACCTAGTTCAGTCATGGTTTAGACTTGGTTTAGACCTGAATTAGACCTGATTTAGTCCTGGCTTAGCCCTGATTTAGGTTGTGTTCACACTCACCACATCAAACTTCCATCTGGAACTAAACCGGGACTAGACCTGAGCCAAACAAAGTCTACACCTGGAGTAGTCTGGACCCAAAACTGGATTAAACCAGGTCAAATGTGAACGCACCAAGAGCAAAAGACCTGATTTAGACCTGATTTAGTTCTCATGTAGTCCTGGATTAGACCTGGTTTACTCCTGGTTTAGACCCAATTTTGACCTGGTTTAGACTTGGTTTAGAAGTGATTTAAATCTGATTTAGTTCTTGTTTAGTCCTAGATTAGTCCTAGTTTAGAACTGGTTTAGACCTGATTTAGATATGGTTTAGGTCTGGTTTAGGTTTGGTTTAGAATATTGATTACACCTAGACTGAATCCTGCCCAGTCCACATTTAGTCCTGGTTTGGTCCTGGTTTGGATCTGGTTTAGACCTGATTTAGTTCTTATTTAGTCCTGGATTAGACCTGGTTTACTCCTGGGTTAGACCTAGTTTAGTCCTGGATTAGTCCTGCTTTAGTCCTGATTTAGACCTGATTTAGGCTTGAATTAGATCTGGTTTAGTCCTAGTTAAGACCTGGTTTAGTCCTGGTTTAGACCTGGTTTAGACCTGGTTTAGATTTGGTTTAGATCTGATTTAGTTTTTATTTAATCCTGGATTAGACCTGGTTTACTCCTGGTTTAGACCTGGTTTAGTGCCGGATTAGTCCTGCTTTTGTCCTGGTTTAGATCTGGTTTAGAACTGACTTAGTCCTCATTTAGTCCTAGACCTGGTTTAGTCCTGGTTTAGGTTGTGTTCACATTAACCCACACACCTCATCAAACTTCCATCTGGAACTAAACTTGGACTAGACCAGAACCAAGCAAAGTCTACACCTGGACTAGACTGGACCCAAAACTGGATTAAACCAGGTCAGTGTGAACGCACCAAGACCTAGAGACCTGGGAAACTTAACCTTCACCAAAATCTCATGATAATTTCCACTTTTTTCCACACTTTACAAACAGAAATAAAGAAAGAGAGCGGTGTGGTGTGTTCTTACAGCCGGGGGAGAGCTGTTGAAGATCGGAGGCAGTTTTTGGCGCTCCCGGTCCATTCCTCCTGACAGCAGCGACTGTTCCGTATCCATCCCGTCTGGCGCGGAAGAATTGTTGACCAAAAAAGTAAAAAGAAATAAAAAGTTGTTGTTTAATATGTTTCCTCGAGTGCGTTTAATCCGCGACGGCCCTGCTGCTTCTCCTCCGCGGGCTGCTCATGGTTTCCGCAGCGCTAGAGCCCGTTGCACCGCTACTCCTCTCCGTCTCCCCTCACGCTTTTATCCCATGGAAGAAGAACCAACCGGGCAGGCGCACATCCTCCGGTCTCCTCCAGACTCCGAGCGCGAACCTACGTGTCCGTTACGAGAGAAGAAAAAAGTTCCAAGTGGGTTTTTACGCACGGAAAGAAGTTGTTCCGTGGTTTGGAGACGTGCGTAAAAAGCGGGGGACCGGTTGCTGTGAGGTGGTGGTTCGGTGCTGGTTGGGTTGGTGGCTGGTTAGGTCCGCTCGGTCCGGGCTTCTGAGCGTCGTCTGGCGGGGAGGCAGCTCCAGCGGCCCGTCGCCATGTTTGGGTGAAGAGAGAGCGGGGAGAGGAGGAGGGGGAGGCGCCTGGAGGAGAGGAGAGAGGGAGAGAAAGAGAGAGTGAAGAGGAGAGAGCACACGCTGAACACACATGGATTCAGAGGAGAGGTAGACACAAAATTAGGGTGACCAGCGTTTTCAAAAACTGTGAGACGAGTGTGTAATTAAGGAAAACAGTTCTACACTCAGCCCATTCACGACTAACACGCTTCAGTATAATCACATTTTCTTTGTGTTTTGGTCATTTTTAAGCAGCTTTTCTGTATTTTACCAAAACAAATCACAGTTTATGTCTCTCTTTACTGTTGGCAGGGATCAGATTGGTCAAATATAGGGACACCTGGGACTTTTTTTGTGTAGCAGACCAAGTTGTAGTAATAGAGCAATAGACCAGGAATCTTTGGAGAAGAGGAACAAACATGTCCCGTCCGTTTATTGAGTGAGATCAGGTCCAAAAGACCAGTTCAGTTTATAAAATGACATGGGGTCAAGGGGCATGATCCATGTGCACAAACGCTCCGGTCAGTTTTATGGCTGACGTGCTTTTCCCCTTTATCAAGACATGTCCTCATCTTCACGATTTATGTACAAAACTCACACATTATCATATTAAGAACAGTGTTGGGGAGTAACAGATTACATGTACTGGAGTTACAAATTATGAGTAACTGTATTCGGTTACAGTTACTGTTTCAGTGAGTGGTAATTGGATTACAGTTACTTGGCTGAAATAAATGGATTACACAGAGGTATTTTCCTGTTTTCACATTTTGGGGTATTCCCTTTTTTTTTTCTATCGATAATTCCACTCATTACCGGACACTAAACCAGGTCTAAACCAGGACTAAACCAGGACTAAACCAGGACTAAACCAAGACTAAACCAGGTCTAAAACAGGATTTAACAGGACTAAACCATGCTGTGTGGACCGTGTCTCCTCTTCTTCTATCAATAATATTTTTAATATGGTTAAGTAAAGACTGGGCTTTTTTATTGTCTTTTAGCAGATAAAACATCTTATGTGAAGATTTCCTCGTCTTTGCTTCTCTACAGCAAATAAAGTAATCCAAAGTATTCAGATTACATTACTCACTTTAAGTAATTTAATGGATTCCGTTACAAACTACATTTTGGGGTATGTAATCTGTAATCTGTAGGGGAATACATTTTCAAAGAAACCTTCCCAACACTGATTAAGAAACATCAAAGTCAGTCCCATGGTCCCACGCAGGAGAAATGACTGGAGACCCTGCAGCAGGTCAGCACAGCACAGATACAGGACACCGACCCAGCAGGAGGTCACCTGGAGACACACCGGAGAACAGACCCCCTGCTGACCGGACACACTGGGAATCTAACAGGATCATCGAGAACACGGGGCCAGGATCCACTGGGAACATCAGGTCTCTGAACCAAGGCACACACACGTCTGTCGACACTCCAACAGACACAACCACACACGGGTGGATCCCAAGAGACGACAGTGGAATCAGGCGCCCAGGCACACGCACAGTAGAGTCCAGACCTGGACATCAGCAGCCCCAACACACCCACGCTCTGTCCAGGACTGGAACGTCAGGGACCTGAGGGACATGCTGTCAGTCAACTCTAGTCCACACCAGCCAGGTCACTGCACATCCCCAGTCTGCACATGACAAAAAAATACATGTCCAGGAGAAAACCATGTGAACACCAGCAACACATGCATGAGGCTAGGCTATAGCTGGGTCATGTTACAGCCCGAAAGTCACCACCAGTGAAAGCGGGAATGTCCGTCCTGGACCGTCACCACCACCGTGAAAGGTGCTGCCACCAATGTAACGGACCAAGTTGTAGTAATACAGTAGTAGACCAGGAATCTTTGGAGAAGAGGTATAAATGTGTCCCCTCCATTTCTTGGGTGAGATCAGGTCCAAAAGACCAGAAACCAGTCCGTTTATAAAATGACATGGGGTCAAGGGGCATGATCCATGTGCACAAACGCCACAACCAGTTCTATGGTTTACACTGGGGTAAAACTGGGACAAATCACTGGTTTTGGATAAATCTGGGACAGGGGACACAGGGCTCAAACTGGGACTGTCCCGGGTAAATAGGGATGTCTGGTCAGACTAGACAAAACAGAAGGAGAGAGAGATTGTGTTTGTTATTCACAATAAAACATGAGGAAAGTGCCATGTTAGAATGTTGTTTCCTCCTCAAAAACAGACCTGGAGTTATGTTTTGTTTCATTCATATGTTTGAGTAATTATCTGTCTTTATTATTAGTCTGTCTACACCTCCAAAACTCAAAAGGCTCTGTTCAGCATTGTGATGTCATGAAGTTTTCATTTGAACTGCTCCTTTTAGCTTTAGTTCAACAGAGATTGACAGTTCCAGAGCTGAAATCATCCAAATGATTCTAGTGAAGGTGTGTGGAGTTTAAAAAAACACAGTGGAGCACTTTTTAAATTGTGTGAATGAAACAAAACACAACTCCAGGTCTGTTTTTGATGAGGAAACATTATAACCTAGATCAGAAAATAAAGTAGTTCAAGCTCTTTAAAGTACAGACAGTCTACGGTTTTGTGCAGTGATATGAACACAGTCTGTTCATTTTGTTCTTTACCTCTACATCTTCTTTTACTTTGAGGCATCTTGTGGAAACATCTGGCACAATCTGCACTTTCTTCACCTTCCCTCGTGCCTCATGCTCTGTGCGTCACTGCTCAGCCTCTGTCCATAATCACAGCCCTATAATGTGACCCCGCCCTCTGCCCCATCATCCTGGTTTAGTCCCACGTTAAAAGGCACAAATTAAACTATTTTCTGATCTGATGATGTGTTTCCTCGTCACAAACAGACCTGGACTCGTGTTTCATTCACATGTTTATCACACAAATCCTGCAGATTTAGGCTCAGTTCTTCTCTCAAACAGAAAACACAATGATGTCATGTACAGGAAGTGCCTCTGTGTTTTTAAACTCCATGCACATTCACTAGAATCATATGGAAGATTTCAGCCCTGAAATTCTCTAGTATTTTGAGCTTTGGAGATGTAGACATGTTACTCAAACATGTGAATGAAACAAAAGTCCAGGTGTGTTTTTGAGGAGGTAATAACATTCTAACATGACTTAAAGCTCACAAGAACCAATCAGAAGTTTTAATACTGGTTTGAGTTGCTGTAATGGAGCTAATCCATTATACAGGCCCACACTTAAAGTGACATGTTCAAAATGATTCACAGGAAGTATTAAAGGAGGAGGGATGTCCAAATATTTTATTCTTTTTTGCTCTAGTCTGTTTTGTACATTTAGCACAGCCAACTTAACAAAGAGTTTTGTGAAGGTTAACTTTTAACCAGGACCCAAACTCTTGCATGGTTTTATTGATTTCTCTTTGTTATTTGGGCTGATTGGACCTGATGTGTGCAAAAACAAATAATTCTATTTTTTATAATTGTTTTATATTATTATATTTATATGTCCACATATGATTTTCATTTTCATTCATTTTATGTTTTAATTATTTTTGATGGAACACAATACAATCACAATTGAATAATGATTTGCATAAACTATTTATTAAATGTCTGAACAACCCAGAATGTGTTGGACATATAGTATATGTGCACATATGTGGACACCAGGTCCTAGGAGGAGACTTTTCTTGAACTCACCTGTATTTACCTGTCCTGGAGTACGAGACAGTCCAGTTAAAGAATATAAAAGAAGCCAGTACAGGCTGCTGCTCCTGCTGCTGCTGCTCCTGCTGCTGCTTCTGCTTATGTTGTTTCTGAACTTTGTACCTGTTTTTTGTAAATATATTTCTTTTGTGTTGGAGAATAAATCCACTTGGGTCTGTCTGTTCCTCGTCAAAACTGTTCAGGTTTCTGTCCAGGCTGTTAAAGCTTTAGTCCTGTTTCAGGGTGAGTTCACTCTTGCACAATCACCTCAACCAAACTGGGACTAAACTTGGATTAAACCAGACCTAAACCAGGACTGGAACAGGACCAAACCAAGTCTACACTAGGACTGAAGACTGGTCTCAAACCAGGACTAAACCAAGACAAGTGTGAAGGTTAAGTTCAGTCTGAGTCCAAGTTTAGACCTGATAACATTTTTTCGAGACCTGGTGTGTTGATGGTATTGACCTACTGTAGATTTTACTCCACTCCTCTTCATTTATGATTTAGTCCTAATTTAGACCTGGTGTAGACCTGGTGTAGTATGATTTGAAACTAGTCTAAATTTGCTTTATTTAATCCAATTTTATTGTGTTCTACCAGGTTTTAATCTGTCTCAGTCCTGCTTTAGTTTTGTGATTTTAAGCTTTTGTCCCGGTTTAGACCTGTTTTAGTCCTGGTTCAGATCAGGCAAGGAGCTGCTTTAATCTCAATTTCAATTTTTTTTGTTGGTGCATTAGTCCAGTTTAAGTCCAGTTTGAGTCCTGGTTTAGTCCTGCTACAGTTCCTCCTCTGTCCATAATTACAGAGGAGCTGGAGCTCGGAGCAGGATAAAGACCTTCTAATGTCACTGCTCCGACTGTGTGTGGGCGGGTATGCATCACACTGTGGGGACCAAACTCTGTTCACACACTCACTCACACCATGGAGATCTGCCAGAGTTATGGGGACAAAGGTCAGGTCCCCATGATGTCAGTCTTTTATTATGTGATCAAGAGCATCAAGTTCAGAGAACATGTTAAAGGTGCTGTACCTCTGTGAACGGCTCCTCTCTCTCTCTCTCTTTGACAAGTTCATCTGACAAGAAAATCTGGATCAACTTAATATCAGTGAAATGTCTGCCCCTGCCCTGTCTGTGCAGGTGGGTTTGGGTCTGTCTGTGCAGGTGGGTTTGGGTCTGTCTGTGCAGGTGAGTTTGGGTCTGTCTGTGCAGGTGAGTTTGGGTCTGTCTGTGCAGGTGGGTTTGGGTCTGTCTGTGC